TAATATGTTTCAAGTATTTAAAGTATATATTATGTTGATATATTGTATTAAAGTATATCAATACTTGAAGTATATTAATATATTAATATAGAGTAATATATTAATATATTTAAAGTATTTAAAGTATATTAATATATTTAAAGTATAATATATATTTAAAGTATTTAAGTATATATTTAAAGTATAATATATTTAAAGTATTTAAGGTATATTAATATATTAACATATTATATTTAAAGTATATTAATATATTAACAAAGTATATTAATATATTAACATTACTCTATGTTATCTCAAAGTCTGTTATAGTAGACTATACTGTACGGTTTTCATTTTAGGGCTACATGAGGTCGGTGAAGTCGTTTAACAACGTTGGTCGCGCGGAGGACGAAGGTCAACGAGGTTGCGCCGAAAGAGCCCTCTGCGAAGCCAGTGCAGAGTGTGTTGCCGATGCTCAAGGGACATCTTCCATCTTCTGTCAACTTGGATCGTAAGTGTCAGACAGTCTGTTTGTCCTTTTAATTAAAGAGATCTGTGGGAAAAAGAGACCGATATTAAATATGTAAATGTATCTTCCAGTCAGATACTTGAGTTATTTTCTGAATTATTTGAATGCAAAGGCTCAACTTCTTTTCTTTTCCCCCACTAAATTTCTCCTCGATTATAAATCTATAGCATATTGATAAATAAAACAACGAATTGCTAGTAATAAAGCTTCTTAATTTCCCAAGGTACGCGACGAGTTACCTGCTCCAGAGGCAGAGTGGGGTAGGCTTCGAGGCGTTGTACGAAGCAGGTCGACGTGGACGCACCGGCGAAGACTGCAGGACCTTGTTCATGGATTGCAACGCCGTATGAAAACGCTCGTCACGATTCGTTCAAGTACGATTTAGACCCTCTGGGACTCGACCAACGCCGGACTCGGTTATCTGAAACTTAAACTCTATATAAATTACATATGCCAACGAGAAGTTGAGGGTTTCGAGCAACGACTCTTCGTCGGTACTGTCGGAAAGTCTCTGTTCAAAAAAGTTTTAGGAGTCTTAGGATTTGTCGTGTCCCGAGGTTCAGATCGCACCGACGCGACGTATGAGTAGCCACAGAATGATGATATCCCCTCGAAGCTCTCGTTCGACGAACTCGCCCCCCCTCCCCCACCCCCGACCAAATCGATCGAATTCCAATTGGCCAATTGTGTCTCGAAAACCAACCAGTGTTCCGGAGCTCGTTCCCGAGATGAAATTCCCAAGTACCCCAATGAAATTTCCAAGTACCCCAATGAAATTTCCAAGTACCCCAATGAAATTCCCAAGTACCCCAATGAAATTCCCAAGTACCCCAATGAAATTCCCAAGTACCCCAATTTGTTCCCAACGAAATTGCCAAGATTTTGTCACGATCGATCGAACGATTGATCGATCGATCAACAGTTAAGCGTCGCTACTAATTGGTCCGATGTTCGACGAAACTCTCGGCACCCTCTGGGAAGGAGCCTTCGGTTCCCGGTGGATCCTGAGAGTTTGATCGTTCGCGATCCGGGGAAGAACAGGCGAGAGAGGAGAGAATACGCATAAAGTGGGGGAAGCATACAGTTTTAACGTAGAAAGTAGACTGAACGAGATTCCAGGCCTGGACGAACCTGGTGTAACGTTCGGACAGGCCTCCACGACGACATCACGGTATTTATTTCTATTTATTGAACTTAGCGGATGTAGAGGTAGCCACGCGTAGCCACGAGACTCGAAACAAAACCACCACGTACAAGGGGGACCACTTGTTTTTCCATTGACAATCGACGAGCTTTAATTCGAGCTCGATTCAATCTGCGTCTTCTTTTTTCTTTTTTTTTTTCCTTCTTCTTCTTTTCAAACGTGTGGCGACTCGAGCCGCACATTTTTCTTTCACATTTAATCTTCAGCTTATTCGCATCTGCTAGGGGAGACAGTTGCTTCGTTGTTTCCGGGAGGAAGACGAGTTTCAGGTAGTCCGGAAGAGTTCAATGCTTGGCGAATCGGACGCGTCCCTTCGAATCCTTTTTTTCTGGGTCGTTTTGAGGGACTACATTCTGGAATGGCCCTCCCTAGATTCTCACACGAATTAACGTCTCAGGATATTCGTCGTTTCGTTTATGTTATCATATAAACCGCTCGAAATTATCTGTTGTATATAGGAATTATATATGTATACATATAAATGTACGTATATAGGCATACAGACACACACACGGATACACATACACATACATACACACACACACATACACTGGGTGGAGTTTTCTTTTTCCGCAATAGCCACGTTCTATTTTATTAGCTCAGTTTGTCAGTATCTTTGCTAGACGTAAGTTGTATGTATGACGTGCGGTACGATGACATTTTAATCGAAATTAATAAACGCTCTCATTGATGAATGCTCACTGTTTCCCTCTGATCCTTAATACCGAGGAATTCGAAGGAGATTAAATAAATAATAAATAAGAAATAAATTTAAAGAATTTGAATCCAAAGGAATTGGAGAATTCGAAGATTCGCAGACACCGAAAGCAAAGAATTGAAACGTTTGAACATTTAGGGCTGCGAAAATTCGGAAGCATAAAAACTCGAAAGTTTGGCGTATCTTTAATTTTCATCGAAATTGTCAGAACGAAGTTTTGTCACTGACGTAAAATATGCCAAAAATGTTCCTTTCTATTTTCCATTTTTAATACAATACCCTTCTCCTTATAAAAAATAATTGAAAAAAAATAAACCTTGAAATGTTCAGCTGTCAAAATATATAATGGCAATATGGTTTAGACTGAAGTTGGCTGCTTAAAAAATACAACTAGCGACACTCGTGGAAAAGAATGAAATCACTTTCTGAACAACCCATAAAATTCATAACATGAAGACCACCTTTTTTTGTTCAGTCACTTTATAACGTAAAATTACCATCTAAAGTTAATTGTGGGCAATTATAATCCTCGTTAAGATTCCACTTGCGCCTTGAACGTAACGAGGTCGATTGTCACAGCAATTACTCGATTTAAAATCTTTGAGAGACAATGAATCTGGTGTCTCTACGATTAAAAGGATTATGTCGCCGCGATAACGAGGGCACCGTGCATTTAACCGGTGCAAGCAGCGGACAGACGTAGAGAAGAACCTCCACGGTCCGTGACAAAAAGCAGAAGGAAGAAACAGTCCGAATTAACGCGTAAAGAAGGAAGGTTGTGAAAGGCGGAAGCCTCTCGTGTTTCCAGCAGCAACTCGTCGAAGGTGAGTTTGATTCAAAACTCAAAGAAATTTGTGCTTCCATTAAGTAAATTTATTTTCTCCTCTGATTCTTTTTTTTTTTTTTTTGAAAATTGAGTTCATTGTCCCTTGGTGAAGTTACAAGAGTTTTCCTGACTTGTTGATCATTTTTATAGAGATGACGTTTAAATCATTGATGAATTTCGGAGGCTACAAGGATTCTTATTATTCTAACGTTGAGAGGTACCACAGTGGTCCCGGTGGCTATCACCACAGCGGATCCGGAGGTTACCATCATGGTTCACGAGGGTAAAACATTAAGATCAAGTAGAATTTTATCAATCATCGACGTTCATTCTGTTTCAATGAAACTTTCTAACACCAACATTTTACATCTTCAGTTTCATTTTGACTTATCTTTGATTATCCTTGATTTAAATTATTACTGAACTGAAATGTTTTCAGCAGTAGCAAGGGCAAAGGAGGTGACAAGAGTGCTGCACTTAGCGCTCTAACGCTGCTTGCTTTCCTCTTCCTGTTGAACGTTATGCAGGTAATCGTCAACTCTCAGAAAGATCCCAATTAATTCGCAACGCTAAAAACAAAACCAATTATTGCACAAAAAAGCAGAATAATTGTACGATTGTCCAACTTAATCGTAATATTTTATTTAAAAAAAAAAAAAAAA